TTCCTCCTGTTCTCAGCCCTTCACTTCTTTATGGCAGTGGTTCAGGGCCATTGGGGGATTCATATTTCTAACTCAAACCAAAGCCTTCCAAGTTCTTTAGCTCTCAAACACAAACCCAGAATGAAAAGAAAAGTCGTGTCTTACCAGGGTCCAGAAAGGGTTGGCATTCACCATTAGCACTGTAGCTCAGCTCCTGTGGCCCTGCTTGTGGCATCCAGGCATCTGGCACCGGGGGCTCCTGGACAGGTTCCATTACTTGGAGCGCAGGTGCCTCCAGGTGCAAGGTGGATGGCATGGGTACTGTTCCAACTGGTGCCAGTTCTTCCAAGAGCATGTCATCCATGTCAATCTGAGAGAGAGGCCACACACATCACTCCGGAGTCGAGACTCCACTGGAACGAAAGCCAGTTTACCACTTTCAAAGTCAGCCATTCCTCACCAATAGTACCATGAGCCACAGATGTAGCTTTAAGGTCTCCAGGGGTTCTGGGAGGCAATGCATAAAAAAAAAAAAAAAAAAAAAAAAAATAACAACCAACCAGCTAACCATCAATCAACAACAGGTAAGTTGACTGTACCAGGATGACCTTATTACAACATCTACAAAGTACCAGGATTTCAATAGTAATCAACAAAAATAATTCCTAGTGAGTTATTCCATCTGCGCCTTCCTTCATACAAAGTCTCTGGGGAGTGTGCATTTCACACTCACAGCTGGTCCAGCTGCACTGTTAAGTGCATTTAAGTGATCAAGTGCCAGGAGTGGTTTGCAACTCCAGAGATGTGCAGAGATGCCCAGACCTCCCAAAGACAAAAATCATCTATTTTCACCCAAACCAGGAAGCTAAGGAAAGTAATGAAAAGTACTCCCTAGGGATGCAGGGACCTTGGTGATTTCCCAGGCAAGCCACTACTTGCGGTGAAGCCAACTGCTCTAGTAATCTGTGTCCCATGCCCCAGAGACTGTGAATGTCAGACAGAAGCTCTTGCTATTGCCTTCTGGGAAAAGTGCCCTGTGTTCACCGATGGTTTCCCTAGCAGAAGCGTCAAGAGGTGGTTCTGAATACAAGGCAATATGCGGGCAGCCGGTGCTACTGGAATTTAATGGGCCAGCAATGGGCACATCACTTACAATCAGAGCTCTTCCTACGCTCTCCCAAACATGGGACTCCTTCTTCAAATCTTCATGTAGAGGAAAAGAACCTAGTATGAACCACATCCTGGTGATCAGGCAGAAACTGAACAGCTTTTGCACATTTATTAGTTTAGCACTTTTGTGCGAACCAGAGAAAACCACAGATTTTCTTTTCCTTTACCAAGAACTGATTTTTTTGGCCACTCTGTACAATCACATCACCAGGGACAACACTGCTCATAGCACTGGAGCCTTGCTCAGAATTCCTGACTGTCCCATCACAGTAATTGAAAGCAGAGGGGTTGGCATGTGACCACTTCATGTCCTCCCATGCAGTGATCACATGCACTGGAGAAATGCATATCAGTTTACACTAAACTGCGCTGCCTTCCTTGTACTCTCTCTAGACTCTACTTGACTCAATGCCAGCCAGATCATTCTGGAAAGAAACAAATAGTAGAGAGTTTAGAATGTGCAGGCCACATTCACCCTATCCTCTCCTTCTTCTGTTTTGAAAAGAAAGCCATTAACAAAGTAAAAACCCCTAGAAACTTAGTGGTCACAATCAATCATACCATGACAGGAACTGGCTAGGAAGCCATAGAGCAGAGTATGGATAACTGTAATTGATATTTCTAGATAAGCTATGCTGTCTGCAAATTTCATTTAATAATACCAAATGGGGCATTCTCATATGTGTGTCCTAGAGAGGGCATGGGGTCAGATACAGGGGGAGAATCTCAGACCCACATGCTGATTCCAGCAGAAGAGAACCCTGGAAAAGTCTCTGGAGAAGTTTTGGGGCTGTGGAATCAGAGTCAAAATGATGGATACAGACCCCTGGCCTGGGTACCTCTTTCTGTTCCCCTAAGAACAGAGACTCCATATTTTTTTTTCTCACCTGTGGTTCTGGTATCTCAAGCTCTCTCTGCAAGTCTTCAATGAGGGACACAACTCTTTCTCTATTGTCTGGGCAGTGTTCCCTCACCCAGGTCTCTATTTCTGTGGGGAGAATGGTTAGGAATTGCTCGAGCACAAGCAGCTCCAGGATTTGTTCCTTAGAACGCATCTTTGGCTTCAGCCACTGACAGCAAAGCTCCCAGAGTTTGTTGAAGGCTTCATGAGGCCCCGCAGCTTCTGTGTACTGGAACTGCCTGAAGCGCTGGCGGAAGACCTCACAGTCTGTGTCATACTCTTGCAGGACAGAGCCCTGGTTCAAGGAGGCCTGGATTGCACAACCCAGGGCCACCGCCATCACCTCTTCGAGAGTTTTACAGTTTATCTGGGGTCTATGGCTCAGAGTCCAGGTTTTTCCTCTCTGTAATGATCTGGGGGAGCCACCTACAGCTGAAGACAGGAAAACATAAAAAGGAGAAAAAGCAACGGTTACAAGATGGCACACTCACCGTCTTTAACTTACTGAGCTTTGCTTTCTCCCACAAAGACTGAAAGGAACACTTCACAGTCTTTTCTGGCGGTTTTGCAAGTCAGATAGAAGCTGGGGACGCACCTCCCAGAACAACATCTATAGACACAATCAGTTTCTAATATTTCTAAAAATCTCAAGAGCTCCCCCACATATCCTCTAGAACATGCTGTTCGATATGATAACAACAACATATGGTATGCTAAGTTTAACCAAAAATTCAACTTGCTTTCTCAGTTATGCCTCATAAATTTAAGGTGCTCAGGAAATAACATTACCAGAAGCACTTTGCTAATATCTTACAATGACAAAGGTAACTGCCTTTTTATATGCCCCCACTGATCTGCTGGCTTTTAATCCTATCCCCAGTCGAATCCCAAGTCTTTTTTCCTATAGGGAGATTTCAAAAAAAAAAAAAAAATAGGGATAATGCAACACTTTTGAAATAACTAAAAGTGTCAAGACATTTTAGTGTGACCTGTGGGGTCACAGGGTTGGCCATGTATATGCCAAGCCAGGGCTCAGGATCTGTACATGCAGGTATACTATGGACCCCCCCCCTCGTCTCTCTGCATTTGTTGAGGCAGTTCCGTATATACCTGTCTTATTTAAGATTTCTGATGTGAGTCAAGAAAATAATAGTCCGATTCTCCTCCCATTCAGTCAATTGATCCGAAACTGACTCCTTATCACCCGTCACTGTGGCAGGAACCTATGCTTCCCGTTACTGTGACAGTAACCTATGCATGCTTCCCGCCACCCTGACAGTGACCTATGCCTCCCGTCACCGTGACTGTAACCTACGTATGCTTCCCATCACCGTGACAGTAACCTATGCCTGCTTCCCGCCACCCTGACAGTGACCTATGCCTCCTGTCACCGTGACTGTAACCTATATATGCTTCCCATCACCCTGACAGTAACCTATGCGTGCTTCCCGCCACCCTGACAGTGACCTATGCCTCCTGTCACCGTGACTGTAACCTATATATGCTTCCCATCACCCTGACAGTAACCTATGCGTGCTTCCCGTCACCGTGACAGTGACCTATGCCTCCTGTCACCGTGACTGTAACCTATATATGCTTCCCATCACCCTGACAGTAACCTATGCGTGCTTCCCGTCACCGTGACAGTGACCTATGCTTCCCGTCACCGTGACAGGTAACCTATGTATGCTTCCTGTCACAGGGACAGTGACCTATGCTTCTGTAGCAGGGGTTAGGCATAATTTGCTGTGTAATCGTCACACCCAAATGCCCCTGACTGCAACACACACATAGTTATAGCATCAACTTCATAAAAATATCCTTCAAGGACCAAATGGCACCAAAAGTGAATAGCAGCGTGCCTGGCACAAGGTAAAAACTTAAGTGAAGTTTCTCGTTGGTCAAGGCTACTTCCTAGGAAGCTTCTAGTTTCCTGAGCCCAGGCGTGTAACCGTTGCTGGAGGACACCCAAAGATCTGCAGTCTTTTGGCTGTGGACCCACTCAGTTAATCTTCTCCAGCCTCACAGCTGGCTAGCCTTCCCCTGGCTGACCCAAAACCTTCCACCACGTCTACCGGGGAAGCGACCCTCTAAGTTTCCTTTCCTGGGCCCTACCTAGTGAAAATTTTCTTTAAGGAACAGTGGTTTCTCTCTCTCTGTCTGTCTCTGTCTCTGTCTGTCTGTCTCTGTCTCTCTCTCTGTCTCTCTCTCTCTGTCTCTCTCTGTCTCTCTGTCTCTGTCTCTCTCTCTCTCTCTGTCTCTCTCTCTCTCTGTCTCTCTCTGTCTCTCTCTGTCTCTCTCTGTCTCTCTCTCTCTCTCTCTCTCTCTCTCTCTCTTTCTCTCTCTCACCTCCCCTTAGTGTATCCACCCACAGGGCCTACCCGTAAAGCAATGTAAGAAAAGAGGGCGCTTAGGGAAACGGCAGGCGTGACATGTCCCCCAAAAGCCTAAAAGCTGGCTTAAAATCCGATGCCAGTGTTAGGGATGTGGTTCCCCCAAAAGCTCCTAGATTGGCTCCTAGATGACGATGCCCGACCACCCAGATGGGCACTCCCAGTCCTGGAGGACTCCCAGCAAGGCCTGGCCGGGTCGCAGGGAGCGGCGGCGGGGTCCCTGAACGAAGAGGGGCTCGCCGCTCCTCGTTGCTCCTGGGGCCTGGCGCCCAGGGCACATATGAAATTTGCCAGTTTGTGTGGCCCCAGCCAGCGAAAGGAGCCCCGCTACCCGCGCCCGCGCCCCAGGGACAGCCACGCCCTCTGGCCGCTCCGGGACTCACCGCCTCTGCGCCCACGGCTCTCCCAAGCTCACCGGCAACTGCTCAAGGCGCAGGCGCGGAGCCGCGTTCAGTACTACATCTCCCGGTAGGCTCCGCGCTGCCCGCTCTTCTAGCCCAGAAGGATGCTGACGTGGGAAGGGCTAGGACTCTCCCAGTCTTCCACCTAGCCTCAAGCGACTTTGGAAGAGCTCCTATTTCCGGTCTTATAGCTTCTGGGTCCTAGGGGAGTGGGTGGGACGAGCCCTGAGTCCTGAGTCAAGTAAGGACGTCTGCCCAGCAGCTTTAGAGTTATCAGTGCAGGTGGGGGGGAATAACTTCTTTTAAAACAGCCTTGACCTACGCAGTGATTCTCAAGCCTCGAGGGGGGAGGTTCTAGGGAAAGCATTTTTAAAATTCACGTTTCTGGGCCCCACCCGACACCCTGGAGAGCGAAAGAGCTTGGAGCTTAAGGATTCGCACTTTAATAGTTTTTCTGGGATGCTGAATCTGATCTGTCTTCTCTGTGTGTCACAGTGGCCTTGGGGATACATCTTAGGTGTTTTTTTTTTTTTTTTTTTCTCTTGGAGACTTGGAGCTTCCATCTAGCGAAACCTTTGTACGGCCACCAGTGGTCTCTGGAGTTTTAGGGTTAGCCCGCCGGCACTACTTCAAATTGGTCCCCCACTGTTCCCGCCCCTGGAAACAAACTTTCCACTCTCGGGATTGAGACTCAGTTCAATGGCCACCAGATACAATGGTGCTAACTGGAAAACCGCCGCGCTCATATTGGGACCAAGCTGGGGCTATTGGGGCTATTGGTCTATGGGTGCCTGATTTTAGTGCTAGGGCTTTTTTTTTTTTTTTTTTTTTTTTTTTTTTTTTTTTTTTTTTTTGGTCTGCCTGAGATTCTGTATCTAGGCCTGAGTGGGCCCAAGATAGCGAGGAACAAACTTCCTGTTCCTGTGTCTCCTTGAGGATCTGTTGGGAAGTGAGACAGACATGGGAGGAGTGGGGTTGTTGGCAGGCACTGAAGACAGCTCCACCCAAGCCAAAGTTGTTCTCATCAGCTGAGCTGGAGCCCCTGACTCCAAAGTCCTGCGAACTCACTGCTGCTCTCTTGATAGCAAGAGTAACTGATCTCCACTAAGGTGGTATGGGAGTCTGATTATTCTTTTGATCTGAAAGCCAACTGGAAAGGGTGATTGATAGTAAAACTGCAGTTGTGTGTGGAGGTACAACCTGTCCCTGCTGGACCCAAGACACATCCCTAGAGGCTGCCCACCTATGCTTTTGAGAATTCTGTTTCCAAGAGGCGTTCTATTTTTCATTTTCTCAAAAGAACCCTTAAGCATTCCCTGGGGCACTGCCATGGGTGAATTCAGCTTAAGATGTGCGTCGAGGAGCAGAGCATGGGGATGCTGATGCCAGAGCAGTTAGTTCCTGACCAGCCTGTTCTAGGAAATCCACAGCAAAGTGAAGGTGCTGTACTCAGAGAGCTGTGAAGAAGCTATAACTGTGTGTGTGTGTGTGTGTGTGTGTGTGTGTGTGTGTGTGTGTGTGTGTGTGTGTGTGTTTAAAAAACTCATGTGATTTGTTTGGAGAGTGCTTGTAAGGTTTGGAGAGTAGGTTACGAGGGAAGATTTTTCTGCTTCATTTTTCTGCTTCGTAGTTGGCTCTAAGGTCTGAGACGGTTCTCTTTGTTGTCTGACTGCTGCACTCAGGTTTTTTTTTTGTTTTTGTTTTTTGTTTCTTCTGGGAACTGGTGTTGGAATTGAACCTAGGACCTCATGCATCCTTTTTTTTTTCTTTTTGGACAGGGTTTCTCTAGCTTTGGAGCCACTCCTGGAACTAGCTTTTGTAGACCGGGTTGGCCTCGAACTCACAAAGATCCTCCTGCTTCTGCCTCCCTAGTGCTGGAATTAAAGGGCCGCACTACCACTGCCCAGCCGACCTCATGCATTCTAATTAAGTACTCTACCACTGAGCTACATTCCCAACCCTTTTCTTTTCTAAAAATAATTATTCTTTGAAAATGCCTTTATATAATGTGTTTGTATCATATTATCCATCTACCTTTTTCTTTCTGTTTTTTTTTTATTTTAAACATAATTCTTTGTTGATCCTTTAGAAATTTCACATCATGCACCCTAATCCTGCTTACATCCCAGTCCCTCCATATCTGCCCCTCACCCCTGCAGTATGCCCCCCAAATTAATTAAAAATAAAACAAAGCAAACAAATAACAAAAAAGATCCTTCATTGTTCCAATATCTCTTCCTTCATCCTAGTGGCATCGGGAGCTGCAGTGTGTCACGCAGTATATATACCCTGTGTCCAGTCAGTCCCACCTGTAAAAATGCTCATTGCAATGACTCATTGGTCTGGTTCAACGTCTCTAGTTTCTGGTACACCATCATCACTGGGTCCTCATCAAAACTCCCTTCAGATACCCTGCTGTTGCCCCGAGTCATGGAGCTCCTGCGGTATCATTTTGCAGGACCAGTCCCTTCACTGACTCCATCAGGTCATAGATGGGGTAGATGCTAGGGTGGGCCAACCCAAGGCCCAGGATGTGGGTCTGGTTGGTAGCTGAGCTGGTTAGGCTGGGCCATTGGGACTACCCCCTCAGGTGAGGGGCAGAACCAGCTCTCCTAGGCCCGTGTCATCTGTGACCAGCTCTCCCAAGCCTGTGGTGAGGGGCGGGGCCATCTCTCCTGAGTGCTGGGGTCAGCTCTCTTGTGGAGGGGCATTGCCAGCTCTCCTGTTGCAGTGTCCAGCAGAGGCAGGGACACCTCTTCTGGGGCCAGTGAGGGACCATGCTGGCTCAGCGTGGCCCTTGGATTTCAACATGCATGGTTTCTATGACCCTCTGTGGTAACCCAGCCATGCACATCAGTCCAGATCCTGGCTGCTGTTGGGCCACAGACCCAGACATGGCCCCATGGCACCAGCCTGGTCGAAGCCCCATGTGGCTGCACAGGCCATACTCAGTTGGCGTGGCCCCATGGCAGCAAGGTCCTCAGACACCAATATGGCCACATGTTCCATCTACTATTTTAATTAACATATACTAATTGTGCAAAGTAAAGATTTTCCTTATGGCCTTTTCATGTATGCATGCCATATACTGTGGTCATATTCACCCCCACGTCCCTAATAATCTCCCTTTTACCTTCACGTTCTTTTAATTTATGATCTCCAGTTCTATCAATTTTCTTGAAAATGTCTTAGTTCCATTTTCTGTCTTTTGTTTTCTTTTGTTTTTCTTTGCTTTTTAGACGATCCTCTTGTCTTGGCCTCCAAATAGTAGGATTGTAAGTGTGCACAATAATACCCAGCATTCATCTTTGGAAGACCCCTCCCCCTGAGAGTTGCCTTGGTCTGGACTCCACCTCCAGGAACGCCTGCCAAGCAGTGACCCCCTCCCCAAGGAGGGTCTAAAAAAGCCTGCCAAGCAGCGGACCACTCCCACAGGCTATTGTGGCTGCCACCCAGAAAAGGAACACGTGGTCTCGGGTTTCCCATGGTCTCCTTCCTCCTCACTCTCTTCCCCTCACCATGCTCCCGGCCATCTGGGAGCACTGCATTAAATGTGGGCATCTTTTATTCGGTCTAATTTGGTCTGATTGGAATTACTTGTGTTGGCGAACAGGCTCCTCTTAAGAATTATACCTGACATGCATCATCGCATCTAGTTGGTAATATCATTCTTTATGGTTGACTAAAATGTCACTGTATGTATATATTATTTTTTTATCCACTTATTCATTGTCCATTCAGATTTTCTGGATTACACTAAGAAGTCCTATCTCTACCTGTGATGCCTTTTATAGCTTAGTCTGGAAGCTTTCTCCACAAACCCCAACTCTAGTAAATACTGTGGTATTGCTTTTGGCTTCCATAGGAAGACGGAGTTACTTCAATAAAAACATCAGCTGTGTCCTTAGATCAAGAGGTGCTTTCTCTCTGTGAGTTCCAGGCCAGCGTGGTCTACAAAGCCAGACTATTACACAGAGAAACTCTGTCTTAATAAATAAATAAATGAATGAATGAATAAAGGTGCTTTCAGATTTTGCCTGTCATCTACTATCTGCATGACACTAACACAAGACACTATTTCTCCTAGCCTCACTTTCCCTATAGGTAAAACTCTAATGATGAAATCCTCCAAGTCTTCTGAGGTTGTTTGTGATGGGCGGCAGAGTGTGCATTTTAATCACTCTGCTGACACAGTTAGCGCTAAAACTATTGTCGGGTCCACACGGGTGGTGCAAAGATAGGGAGAGACCACTGAAGTCTAATAAACCAGAAGCAAACGATTCCAGAAACCAGATTCTAGGAAAAAAAAATTTAAAAAAATCTTCATGGGGCACAAAAAGCTTATCAGCTAGCTGAGACTGCAACCAGAGATGGGTTTTGTAAGGCTGTGGCAAAGGAGAGCTTCCGAACTCCTCCTTTTTTTTTTTTTTTAGCAAGAATTAGGCAATAGCAAAAGAATGTTTACAGTCTCAAGGTAAAACTCAGATACAAATTGCCCTTCTTTGCAATTTCCATTCACAGAGTTTTTTTTTTTTTTCAGTTAAACTAGTGTTTGTTCTTAATCTATTGTCTTCCCTGGTATCCCTTGATAGTGTTTACCAAGGCTCTGCACCTCCCGAGACACTGCCAGTTTCCCATGGCAGGGAAGGGTATGGAAAAATGCACAGCCAAAAAGTCAAAAATCACGTACATCCCATCATTTAAAAGTTAACTCAGCTCGCGTCATGAGTGGTCACGGGGGTTATCTAAAAGCTGACCCTCAGTTTGTAGAGGGCTGCTTCACTCTTGTTAACAGAGCAGTCAGTTGTAAAGTGGAGTAACCTGCTGTTAATTGTTAATCCTTGAGCTGCTGACCAAGCTGCTGACAGCCTGCTCTCATTCTCCGAGTCGTACAACTTTATATTTCTTTACTTTTACATTCTTATTTCTGGAATCTACAGTTTTATATTCTTATTCTTGGGCCCTTCACTATAAGTTACTAAAGTCAGGGTTGGCAGCCTGCTTTTCCTTTTTCAGAGAAGAGTTAATTGTGAACTTGAAAAAATCGCTCGCAGTGAGACTTGGAGGTACTCATGGCTCTCAAATCAGCTTCTCTGGTGGTCAGAGACAGGCTTGATTCTATTGGAAGAAGATGGAAGGAAGGGGTAAAGATAAATGCTGACGGGGCCCTCTCCCCAAACCCTCCACGTGTAGTTACATATGTATAGTTGCATGGACGTGTGACTTTGAAGAAACCCTTGTGTTTGAACCACCCCTTTCTCCTGTTGGGGCCAGAGAGTCAGATTGATTCTGTTGAAACTTTGCTGTCAGTTTCCTGTAAACAGATCCCTTTTATGTTGGCCCCCAGTGGTGATGAAGAGTGAGCTTAGGTTGCTACTGAAAAACAACCAGCTGGGGGCTAGAAACAGAAATGCTTTTGGAATGGCTTTTACCTTCAGAAGCAATAGCAGTCATTGTGTTTTCAAAAGCGATTGATAGGGAAAAAAGCCCCGCAGTTAAAGTAGTTGCTACCTCTAATTCATTTGGTCCAGTCAGCACGTCATCAGTGTAAGAGGCTAAAATGTAATCTAATGAAAGGGAAATGTGATAAAGAATTTTGTGCCCTCCCAAGGTTCAGGAACCATTGTAGAAGTTGTATAGATTGAAATAAATGGAGGTTGAGAAGTACTGGAGCAAAAGTGTCCACTGGACATGGCAGGCCTGCTGCATGTAGGACCCAGCCATGACAAGCCCAATAGAAGCCCAAGTCTCAGTAGTTTACCCTAAGACAAGACCATAAATTGTGACCACCCAGGCACCACCCAGGAACAGACCCTCCAAAGGAAATTTCTAACATTCTAACCATTGTAGATAGGATCACCTGCCAACATGCACTCATTGCTTTTCACCAGGACACCCCTAAACAAATGTCAGGCAATCAGGGGTCCTGAACCTTAGAAATCCCTCACCCCTACCTTTGCTATTTTAAAAATCCAACCCCAACTGAGCTCAGGGGCGCTCCAATCACGCCAATATATTGGACACACAGAGAGTCCGAGTTCACGAACTTGTATAAGAATAAAGGTGTAATGGATTAAGTAAAAATGCTGCAGGTCCCCAAGTGGCTACAGAGGGCAGTGGGTCCCAAGAGCAGCCAGTCCCAGGCAGGGACGGCACAGTTGCCCGAGTGCCTGCAGTGGGCCAAGAGAGGCAGCGAGTCCCATGAGGAGAGACAGACAGATGAACACTCCACAAGACCATGCCACAGGTCTCTGAAGTTGGCTGGTCCTGGGCAGGGAGCCATGCCGCAGGTGGGAGACATAGACATGGATATGGATAGGCACACCATGCAGAGTGAGGTTGGAAATTTATTTAATGGTTTATGGAAGGGAAGGGGAGAGAGGGTAAGGGGAGAAGGGGAAAGAGCAGAGAGAAACAGGGAAAGAGACTGAGAGAGAGAGAGACAGACAGAGGGGAGAAGGGTGCTTGGCCTCGGCCTCCCCTTTCATTCAGGAGGCTCTAGGTACATAACTGGCTCAGATCTGAACATGGCTGAGGTTTGGACTATTGCAGTTAGTCTCCTGTGAATTTTCTCTAGGTCTTCCATCCATCCCGTTAGTAGGCTCCCTTCAAGGGCCATTCTGAACAGCTAAGTCAATGCCGGAAGTCTCTAAGTGTCCTGACTTGGTCCATGCCACCCTGGTGTTCAGTCACCTCCATCACTTTATGTAAACAGGTTCATGGGGAGCAGTTGTCAATGAATTTTTTTAAGGATTTATTTATAATGTAGACAATGTTTTGCTGATATGTATGCCTGCACACCAGAAGAGGGCGCCAGATCTCATTACAGATGGCTGTGAGACACCATGTGGTTGCTGGGAACTGAACTCAGGACCTCTGGAAGACTAACCAGTGCTCTTAACCTCTAAGCCATCTCTCCAGTCCCTTTATTTTAATTTATTTATTTATTTATTTATTTATTTATTTATTTTAGTTTTTTCAGACAGGGTTTCTCTGTGTAACAGCCCTAGCTGTCCTGGAACTCACTTTGTAGACCAGGCTAGTCTCAAACTCACAGATATTCACCTGCCTCTGCCT